TATTACTGAATAGCGATAATTCTGCACTTAAATTATTACTGAATAGTTATTATTAAGTATGTAAATCTATTATGAATATGTACCTAAAATATATATCGTCAAAAATACGACTTATGTTTGAAAATAATACATTAAGAAAAACATTATATTAACGGAGAAGAAAAATAATGTTTTATGCACAACTAATTTCAGAGTTGTATCCTTTTTTATTATCAATAAATCTTTATAATAAATAAATAATACAACAAATCGGTGCCTTTTTTATGGAGAGGTAAATAAATTAACGAGGAAGAAATATCAGTATTTTTTCCTGGCATTTGAGATTATATAATTTTTATATGAAACGAAATAATAACCATCAAAATTTTTGTGTCTTTTATGTTCTATATCATTTTGAACTGGTGGGAAACATGCATTTTTCGGGGAGCAAATCCCTACATGCATGAAAGTTTTTTCCATAACGCCCGAATAGAAAAATAATCTTGGGTTTACTCTTTACTATGAGTGGACTCATGCTGTGTAAGAAATTTTTATATGTATGCATGGTTTTTATTGAGAAAAGTCGTGATTAGTTTCAAATATTTATGAAATTTAGAATGAAACTAATTAATTTGTATCAGTTGATAATATCTACGGAAAACACATCTATTCTTCGATGCTATGCAGCACAAAGATACCGCAAATTTTGTAAATTTTTGTCGCCGTGGGGACTCTTCATAATTTAAAACTCGTATACATCTTCATAATTTAGAATGTACTTCATTTAACAAATCTATAATACCACGAATAAATATTTTAATGACATCGATATTTTACTGGTAGTGATATTTTCCTGATATTGGCCCGTATGCTAAATAGGGCACTAGCACTACGAAGTAGCACTACGCACTACGAAGTGTCCTGTTGGTATGCTAAATACGTCACAAACACTAAGCACTTCGAAGTAGCTCTACAATGTTTAATGTCGCTTAGTGTCGCACTACTGATTCGTATGCAGAAAGACTTTGAAGTGCTACTTCGCTGTTAGAGTACTTTATAGTGCCGCACTAAGCTATGAGTCTATTGAAGAATGATAGTTAAGTGTTCAAATAATTAATTATTGCCTAAGTAATTCTCATTCTTTGCAGAAGATTGATGTAAAATGTCTAATTGTGATGGTATATATTGGTACTAGTGAAAATTGTGATGGTGAGCTGAAATTCGCAATGCGTCTGCGCACCTTCCCCATCATATATACAAAGTCCACGCTTCCCAAAGACATCGAACAAAAGAGAGAAGCATGGAAAGTTCTTGCAGAAGAATTCAAAATGACTCCAGAAAACAAAAAATAAAATTCAAAACATGGTATCAAAAACGAGAAAAGTATTTTCTACTTCTACGCTGTTCATCTGTTTCGCCAAGGAAAATGTCAGCCATAAGTATAACATGTTGTTCACTGAAGCGGTACACTTTTTTATATTCATGGCATGTAGTTCCTGAGGTTGTTACGCGATGATGCCTTTGCTGTAAGCCAAACAGATCCATAGCTGACGAAGTAAACAAGGTGAAATATACCGTAGTGTCGTCGTGAAGTGCGGTGTGTAGGACCTGTCTCTTATACACATCTAGATGTGTATAAGAGACAGNGAGTAGAAGTTGTGCTGCAGGTGCTGAGTAGAAGTTGTGCTGCAGGTGCTGAGTAGAAGTTGTGCTGCAGGTGCTGAGTAGAAGTTGTGCTGCAGGTGCTGAGTAGAAGTTGTGCTGCAGGTGCTGAGTAGAAGTTGTGCTGCAGGTGCTGAGTAGAAGTTGTGCTGCAGGTGCTGAGTAGAAGTTGTGCTGCAGGTGCTGAGTAGAAGTTGTGCTGCAGGTGCTGAGTAGAAGTTGTGCTGCAGGTGCTGAGTAGAAGTTGTGCTGCAGGTGCTGAGTAGAAGTTGTGCTGCGGGTGCTGAGTAGAAGTTGTGCTGCGGGTGCTGAGTAGAAGTTGTGCTGCAGGTGCGGAGAAAATTTGGTGCTGCAGGTGCTGAGTAGATTGATTAACTGTAGGTGCTGGGTAAATTGGCTTCACAGGAATATGCGAAATGACGTCATTATTATTATTGATAATATGGTATCACTAATGGTATATAGATTAAATTCTAATATATTGATATAGTAAACCGAATAATTAAAAAGTCCTTAATAAAAAGTAATGAAATTGAGTAAATTGGTAAATGAATGCATGAGATGTAAATTGACAAAATAATAGTTAAGTACGATAAGGACTTGGTTTTTATTGAAATGGTGAATGCGACCTTTTTTTCGGTATATGTTTATAGAAATCTAAATCTAACTTCAAGAAGTTGCATTAATCCGTAGAAAGTTTTTAGATTGATATTTCTTATGAAGTGTTTTCATAATTTATAAATTGAAGTAATTCAAAAATATATAAGAATGTAAAAACACTTTGAATGTTTTCTGAATAGAAACCTGTAAATACTTGATATCAAAACCCTCGATCTTCTTATGAATAATGGAAATATATTGATTTTGTGTTATTTATACTATACCACATTATACATTATGATTTATGCCACAGCGTACAATTTCTTCCCCTGTTCATACCGCCTGATGTTTGTGGCCACAGCGTAAAATTTGTTCCCCTGCTCATAGAATAGTATAGAAGTGTCGGCGCTGAAGAAATAGGCCCATGGCCTGTTGCCGATTCTTGAACTTTTCGTGACTTGATTCACAAGGGTTCCGGCCTTTGGAACCCGATCTTTCCATAGCTGACGATTGATTGAGATAGCTGCTGGACTTATTGCCTGGTCCGTAATTTGCTAGGCATTGTAAGACTGAACATATGCTCCTGCATAGCTTCGTCTAGTCTGTTCTTGAAGGCGTTCATAGTCGAAGCGTCAACGATGCTATCAGGGAGGCTGTTCCACATGTCGGTGACTCGAAGCGAGAAGAAATGTCGCATGAATGTGTTACAACGCAGCTTTTTTAGTTTATAGCCGTGGCCCCTGGTGTTAGTTCTTGTTTCAAGTTCTAGTAATCCTCCCGGTACCTTGTATAAGCCATGAGTATACTTGTATGCTTCAATGAGGTCCCCACGCAGACGTCGATAACTGAGGCTTGGAAGCTTCATAATCTTTAATCTTTCCTCATAGGACCGTCCTTTCAAGCCCGGAACTGTTCTTGTTGCGCGTCTTTGAACACTCTCTATTAAATTTTTGTCCTTTTCAAATTTCGGTGACCACAGGACGTTTCCAAACTCTAGGTTCGGGCGCCCGACAGCAACAAACAACTGCTTCATCGCTTCTGCATCTATGAACTCGAAAAAGCGTCTGATCAGTCCAAGTTGTTTATTGGCTTTATTAACTTGACCTTAAATACGCTTAGAAAATTTCAACTCATTGTCGATATTAACTGCTAAATTTTTTTTCCATTGCCGACTTCGACATCATTACTCTGTCGTTGCAACCGTGTCTTCTCATACCGTTTTGCAACCGTGTCCTCTCGTTGCAACCGTGTCTTCTTCTCTTGCTGTTCATTATTCTTGCCAAGGTGGATAACTTTACATTTGCGAGCGTTAAAACGCAGCTGCCACTTGTCAGCCCAGTCAACCAGCCTGTCAAGATCACCTTGAAACTGTACTTTTTGCGACATATTCTTCACTGTATTAAAAATTTTTGTGTCGTTAGCATACATCGAGCAAAAGCTAGACACAGCTTCTGGCAGATCGCTTATAAACGCAACGAATAAAACAGGCCCGTGAACGCTTCCTTGTGGAACGCCGCTGCGCACTGAATCCCAGTCTGATACGGACCCATTAATACTGACACGTTGTCGCCTCCCTACTAGAAAATCTCTGATCAATTTGAGTACATAACTCTCAATTCCCAAAGACTTAAATTTACGCAACAGCCGCTCATGTGGGACGCTATCAAATGCCTTGGCAAAATCTAGGTACACTGCATCTACTGGCTCCCTTTCGTCCAGCAGGCGGGTCCATTCGTTCAGAGTAGACAAGAGGTTAGTGGTGCAGGATCTCCCGGCAATAAAGCCATGCTGACAGTCTCATAGGAGATTATTAGCAGTCAAATGATCTAACAATCGATCCTTCACAACAGATTCCAGTACCTTGCAAACGACGCTTATCAAACTGACAGGGCGATAGTTGCCCGGGCAGCTTTTGTCACCTTTTTTGAGCCATTGTGTCACTTGAGCTTCTTTCCAGTCAGCCGGCATGGTCCCTTCGTTCAAAGTTTTTCGGAAAAATTACATCAGAGGGCCGGCTAGGACAGTTGCTAACACTTTGAGTAATCTGGGGTGGAAACCGTCTGGTCATCATGACATGTTTGGATTTACAGCGATAAGGCGCTTGAGAACCTCTTCTTCTTGTATTTCTAAACTTGTTAATTTAGAACCTTGCCCTCATCAGATGATATCTTTCTTTGATCTACTTTCAAATCAGAAATACCGTCCTTCAACTTGCACTTCGAGCTAGCGTACAAATAGAAGGCTTTTGGGTTATTTTTTTTTGCATTTTAGCAATACTTTTTTCGAGAGTTTTTACTGCGGTGCGACAGCTTTCTTAAGCTTGATTTTGAGCTCTTGCGTATAGGTAATAGTCAGCATCGCTACGAGTCTGTAAATAATGATGGTAGACTTCCTTCTTTGTTTTCAGCTTAGCTAAAACTGTACTGTTCATCCACCTAGTTTTTTTGGTTCCACCAAGCTTAATTTTAGGTACACACACTTCAACTGCAGACATAACCGTGTCCTTGAAAAATGACCATGACTCAGTCACATTCATGTCCTTAATACATTTCGAAATACCGTTCATACTACCTGATGTTTGATGCCGCAGCGTACAATTTGTTCCCCCTGCTCATACTACATTATGCTTGATGCCGCAGCTTACAATTCGTTCCCCTGCTCATACTACCTGATGTACAGCGTACAATTCGTTCCCCTGCTCATACTACCTGATGTTTGATGCCACAGCGTACAATTCGTTCCCCTGCTCATACTACCTCATGTTTGATGCCGCAGCGTACAATTCGTACTACTTCGGCCCCAACAATATATGCTACGCATGGAACCTGTGGCCGGCCCCGACCTTCAATCCCGCACCCAATCCCAGCGTGAACATTTTCTCCTCAAGCGTCAAGGTCTCCGCATTTACGTTGCCAGGTGAGCGTATTAAGGTCACATTACAACAAAAATATATATATAATTTTTATAAAGAGAAATAACTACATAGAAATAACTACAAAATAATGCAACCGCATACAGAAAAAAATGGTTCCAATACAAAAAAAAAATAAAAATTGCTTCTATCTCCAACGAATTTCAGAGGGAGAGCGTTCAATTAGGGAAAATCACTCGTGCCAACCTCATTTAGTTAACCAGTGTTAACCCCTAGAATTATTAATATTATTACTAATAATATTATTGACTATAGTTTAGGTGTAAAATGGGCTTAATTTTGCATTACAATGACTCTACACCTCGCAGAATTTGTATAGCCAGCTAGGCATTTGAACCCGTAGTTCACTGCACCAAAGTTAATGTTTCAACCAATCGGCCATCATTCAAATTTCAACCATAATTTTTGTAGCTAGCTCGGATCAAACCCGCAGCACGCTGCATAAATTTTTGGGGCTTATAATTTCACCCACTTGGCTTCTCTGCCATGTTATTAGTTTAATCACAAATGTAATTAGAGATATAATTATATAATGATAACAAATGTAACAAAAAGTGTAATGTAATCATAGAAGAGCATACACAAATTCTACCTCATAGATATGCAGTCGAGTTTAGTTTTTGAGAATAAACGTATACGTTTGTAGGCTTCTTACCAGTTTTAAAAATTTGACTTTGATATGAAAATAAAACTTATGACTCTTTGTTTCATGTAGCTACTGTGATAAACAACTTCTGGACCAGTGACTTCAATCTTGGGCAAAACTTCAAGGTGCAATACATCGCTGCCTGTTCAGCATACTTCACTTTCAGCCTTAAAGTCGGGAGTAGGAGCATTGGTGCTGTTAAGTCCGGCGACGTAATTCCGTACAACGTAAAACCCTGCACAGCAATGACGTTCAGTCTAACCCCATCCTACGGAGGAGTTGTTGGAGCGTCAAAGACGTTTAGGACCACCATTCCTAGTGGTGAGCTTTGAATTTACTGCTAGAAATTTTCAGCTAAATATAGGTGGAAGGTGGAAGTTTTAGAATAATGCCAGGAAAAAATCTTAGTTTTTTTCTGAATTCTGGTAATAATGTCCGAGATTTATTTGATTTAATTCTGAGTGAGACTTTGTCTTAAAAGCACTGCATTTTGTGCCTTTGTGTTGGTTATTTCGGCCCAGTTTGGCGTGAGTGTGTTTGTGCTGTCCTCATTGTGCTGTTGAGTTACCACAAAAGCCAAGGTACTCGTATATTCTACTTTTTTTGATAAATCATGTAATTAAAAATTTGTTTTCGTTTAAATTTGTTATTAAGAGTTTATGTCAAACTAGCAATTTTTTCTTTCTGCTTGATGGGTGGTGCCAAGTACATGAACGTTGATACACAAAAAACATAATTGGATGCAGATAATCAGAAATGTCTGAAGCTGGAAGCAAGTCAAATTTCATTGTCGTGACGTTCTTTGTCTCTACGGGAATTTACGGCTTCGCGGAATTCTTTGGCTTTGTCAAAGAATTCCTTTGTCTCGTTGTAGACGGTGTAGAGAAATTCTTCGTCGTTGTGGCAATTGACGTCGTACTCAAGTTTTTAATGACTTTTTAATTCACGGCGTCACGAAGCTCTTCAATGCTACGTTCATTGACACGGTCGTGAACCTATTTGTAGCTATGATAAGTCCCGGCGTCGTCAATTTCGTCATCAATACAAAATTATCGGCGTCGTTATACGTGAGTACCCTAATGGCTGTGGGGCAACTGAGGAGCGCCTGACCTGACACTTAATTTGGCAGACGTGTTCGAATGTGGAAACGGACCCACCCCCCCCCAAAAAAAGGGGGAGGGAGGATGGGGGGGATTTTATAATATAAGTTGTTTTTCGAATATTGTCCTAAAGAATATTACGAAAAACATAAAAGAAAATGTATCACCGATGCATAAGGAAGCAACTGGCTAATTTGAACCGGTAATAAAATTAGTAATTAAGACTTTCAGGGGCATCATTCCACGTCACCCACAGCCAAACATTCTTCAACATTCACCAGCGCTCAACATTTTCATACATTCACGGGCGTTCAAACTTCTCCCACATTGCAAAAAGCCAAACTTTATTCAACGTTCATTAGAACCTGAAATTCTCCAATATTCGCCAACGCTGAATTAAGATACAATTGTATCATAATTTAGATATGAACAATTTCCTGAAGCAATTGTGAACCTCACCTGAGAATATTGAAATTTTGTAGACCTTGTTTGAATAACCGAAGGTACACTCTTCAATGCTTGTTATCAGGCAATGCACTGGCATCACAATATTGAGCAGTTTTATCCCAAATCACAGCGACATGAACATATAATAAAATACTTGTAGGCCATGAATGCTAAACTGACATCATCTGTTGCTTTTTCTGCCAATTAACAGCTTACATATTAGTTATGTATGTTATGATAAGAATTTGAAATTTATCTCTTGGAGCTACAAGCACTACTTCTTTACTGCCACGTACTTATCAAGTATTTTCCTGCTCTTGCACCCCTTAATCATATTTCCATGTCTTCAGGCATCCTGTGGTTTTTAAAGGTAGCCAAATAAATTGATATTTTTCTCCTATAATTAATGAAATCTTACATCACGTAAGCTTACGTAGCTTACGTAATTAGTAAAATCAATTTTCATTTCGTTCCATCGTATGCCTTGACAAACGTACGCGTGTACAAACAACGACGCCATATGATGAGCGGGAGATGGCCATTGCTTACTAAAATAACAGCGTCTAACCACAGGGCCTTGCCAGCAATTTTTTTTCGGTCTGGTTAGGTATATTCGGCCTATCGGGATATCGACTCCCCCAATCGGCTCCTATTTCGCCGCTGATTGCAGTTATGTGGCCGATAGGCGCCTGAGTCACCTCTAAGCTGACTGTCTGTCCTTTGGGGCGGCCCCTTATGGAACAAGAAACTCGACCGGGTTAAAGTAGAGTCCAAATTTGATTGGGTAATTGAGGGAATCGTGAAGTTTTCTAAATGATGTCGTCGTGATGTTCATTGTCGATGCAGTCATTGATGTCGGGATGAAGTTCTTGTTTTTAAGATAATTTGGGTCGTCGTGAAGTTTTCTGTCCCTGCGGTAGTTGGCGGGCAAAAAAATTATATTGACTGCTGTTAAAATATTTGATATTTGGCATTTTTTAACAAATAATATACTTCTTTATCGCAATATTGCATTATAAATTGACAATTTTTTCTTTGCATTATATTGTGTGTAAATTGCCTGAAATAAAAGGGAAAAAATCTCTATTAAAGAAAAATTCTTCCATGTTGTCATTGAAGAATAGCAAATTCACTTCATAATGTAAAATTATACGAGAATTTCGGCAAAAATATAACTGAATCATGGGAAGACCAGTAAATCTGTGTTTTTCCAAGAGTATTATAGTTAGAATGTTTGGAATTCGTTCATAATTGTAGATGAGTACCATATTTCCCTTAATTTTATGAAAAATATTTTATCGTTGTCGAACCTGTTCATTGCCTTTCCTAGTGTGAAATATTTAATGTAAATTTCAGCGCGCAACCCTGCCCGCACTGTAACCAAAGCAAGTGTTTTCTGTAGTGCGCACTCGTCTGATCAGTTTCATTTAAGATAAGTTTGAATAAAATTTAATAAATCAAAATAAACTTGGTTGATAACCGGACATTATTTGTTGCAGCTCCGGATATTTTTGCGTTCAATGTAGACAACGTAAATCTGCACCAATCCTTCGATATTCACTTCACCGCCGTGTGCCCTGGCGCGTACTGCTATGAAATCAGCGTGAATGACGTCAGCATTGAATACCCAGTGACTACGGATACCACAGTTACTTATGATGTACCGCCCTGCACTGACTTGACGTTCACCCTCTCCGCCAAGAACTGCGCCGATGACTCCGACACCGGATACTCAACGAGCTTGTCGCCGTACCACACAGATCCAGGTAGAGTTTGCAATTTATTATGTATAATGTAAATGCAACTTTATTTTCATCCAAATTTGTTATTAGAAGTTTGTCTAACATGACAAATTCTATTGCCTTTGCTAGTTGGAGGGAATAAAACCTAATCTATTAATGAAGATCCAAGATCAAGGCATGACTAACTGCAAATTGCTAAAGGCTTTTAGTTTGTAGTTTGTACCACGTCAATTATACGTAGTCTTGTCTAAAGTTATTTTTGAAATACTGGTATTTGACGTCGTCGTAAAGTTCTTTGTCACTATGGTAATTGTGTGCGTCCTGAAGTGCTTCACCGCTACTTTAATCGACGTCTTTGTTAAGTGGTTTAATCGACGTCTTTCGGCATTGTGAAGCTCGTTGTCGCTAGAGTAATTTATGGCGTCTTGAATGCTTTTGTCGCTCTGATCATTGATGTCGTCGTGAAGCGATTTTCTGCTAAGGTAACTGATGTCATTCTAAAGTTCTATGTCACTAAGATAATTTTCGTCGTCGGTAAGTTCTTTTTCGTTTCGGTAAAAGCCGACATTGCGAATTTCTTCTTTAAACTGTAATTTTCAGCGCCGTCAAAATATCCCACGATACTGAAATAAACTGCGTAGAAACTTTTTGCCGCAACAGAAATTGACGTCGTCGTAAAGTTTCTTGTTGCTACGGCAATTCACGGCCTTGTGATGCTCTTCATTGCTATTGTAATCTATGGCGTCATGAAATTCGTTGTCGCTTTGGTCATTAATTTGTCGTGGAGTTATTTGCTTCTACGGTAACTGACGTCGCTGTAAAATTCTTCGTTTGCGTCGTTAAGAAGTTTCTTTGTGTCACTGCGATAATATCTATCGTCGTGAAGTTCTTGGTGCCTTCAGTAGTTGGCAGGCAAGGGAATCGGTTTTTGTATTGGTATGAGAAATGTTTTCTTTGCCTGGCTTCAACAAATGATATAATTTTGTATAGCAGTTCAGCGTTCCATAGTTGTAAAAATTCTCTTTCTGGTGGTAGATTGCATATTCAACGCCTGAAATTTCAGTGAAGTCAATTTTCGGTAAGAAAAATTGTTCCGTATCATGCATATGAATCGTAAATTACATTTCATATGTTAAATTACATATGAATAAATGCTAAAATATGGTATGCACTTAAAAATCAGTGGAACTCGACCAACTCCATCTTTTCCCAAAATTTTTCTAGTTATAATTTTTTGTAATTCGCCTATAATCGTAGATGAGTGCCTTCCTTGTTGTCATCTCGTGCAAAATATTTGACCGTTGACGAAACTGAACATATTACCTCTCCCACTGCATAATCGTTCATGCCATCATCGTTCAGCGAACAAACTCGCCCGAACTGATCCAACAGTGTTGTGCATGGAGCGCCCTCGTCTGATGTATTTCATTTATGAAGTATGAGAATACCATAAAATAAATACTACTATAATTGGTTGATAACCGAAAATTATTTTTTTCAGTTCCGGATATTACTTCGTTCACTGTAGATAGCGTAAATCTGCACCAATCCTTCGATGTTCACTTCACCGCCGTGTGCCCTGACGACATCTGCTATGATATCAGCGTGAATGACGTCAGCATTCAATACCCAGTGACAACGGATACCACTGTTACTTATGATGTACCGCCCTGCACTGACTTGACGTTCACCCTCCATGCCAAGAACTGCGCCGATGAATTTAGGCATGCCTTAATTTCAATTTTGAATTCAACCACTATTTCGAATTTTTCTATCACTATTCGTTACTCCATATACCTTTGATTTGATAGTGAGCTATTTAATGGTGAACTATTTAGATACTTAATGCATTTTCTTTTCAAATGTCTTAATATGCCTGTTAAATTGATTAGATATAGTCCAAGCGTTCATTTAAAATTCTCAAAATTTGATTCTTTTAAAATTTTCACATACCCTGACCTGCGTTATTCATGATTCATATCTTTACTTGCTTGAATTACTTATACACATTTCAAACTACCTATATTGGATGAAACATGATAAATCAATATACCAACAGTAAATAACAAAGTTTGCTCAAATCAGATATATCAGCAATACACTTATCAAATGTTCAATGAACCATCATATTCATCATGTCAAGTAATCACCAAACAATTAAATACATATGCGCCCCACGTTTTTTGTTTTAGATGTTGTAAAATATTTTAACTAAAATACAAAAGACCAAGAGAATGAAGGCAAACAGAGATCAGTAGCTGCCGTAAAATTATTTTCTACTTTTGAGTCCACATGAAAAACGTGGTCTTTAAAATTTTTTTTTATACATTTTATTTTCTACTTTTTAGTTTTTTTAAGTATTATATTTTCTCCTTTTTAGTCCGTTGCTACACATGAAAAATGTTGTTGCGAGCCAATTTACTTGACTTGACGTACGTATCGATGATACGAAACGTATCATCGATATACGCAGTCTAAACACGAATATCCTCTCGAATTTGACGTGCCTTTTAAAGGTTCCCAAACCCCTGCTTGTGAGTTCCTTTAGAGTTTATAACTACTGCAAAAAGGTCAACCATCCTACATAATATTCATTTTATTTCAGTTGGCCACGCAAATGCATGAAAGAAAATTCTTTTCGAAGTTCTGTAGAAAATTGTATTCGAGGGGATACATTGTTGTTCCCGTATTTATCTGGGTGCGTGGCTGTAATAAAGGAAGGTTCGGTAATAAATACGCCTGGAAACGTGCAACAAATTGTTGATTATTGTATTGTTATCGGGAGCTGAGCTTCCCTAAAAGTTTCAGAGTGCTAGCTAGCGGGAAAGTTGGTGAAATATCGATTGCAAGATTTGATCATCACAGACAGACAGAGGGACACGGAAGCGAGCTAAGAAAAACGTGGTAATAAAATAGGGGTGAAATGGTAGAAATTCGTTTTTTGGCGTTGGATTGTATGTTCATTACTCGAAGTTTTAGTTTTTCCACGTGTAATCATTCTATTGAATCGTAAATTCCTCTCAGGATGTAAAATTGCATAAAACTTTCGGCAAAAATACACCATGAACTTGAAAATCACAAGAAGAGCAATAACTCCATGTTTTTCCATCGGTTTTTAGTTACAGTTTGTAAAATGTGTTAATAATAGAACACGAATTTATTATTTGCTTTCTCTTCATGAAAAATATTCGAACGAGTCGAATCTCAGCATTACGTTTCCTATAGTGCATATAATCGTTCATGTTATCATCGTTCAGGGTATAACTTCGCCCACACTAATCAAACAATTGCTGTAGAGTGCACGTGCCTTATGTGTCTCATATAAGATGTACATGAATGTCATTGATCAATTTAAAACAAAATTGTTTGATAACCGAAAATTATCTGTTTCAGTTCCGGATATTACTTCGTTCACTGTAGACAACGTAAATCTGCACCAATCCTTCGATGTTCACTTCACCGCCGTGTGCCCTGACGCATACTGTTATGGAATCAGCGTGAATGACCTCAGCATTCAATACCCAGTGACAACGGATACCACAGTTACTTATGATGTACCGCCCTGCACTGACTTGACGTTCACCCTCTATTTCAAGAACTGCGCCGATGAAACCGACGCCGGATGCTCAACGGACTTGCCGTACATCACAGATCCAGGTAGCATTCGCTATCTATGATAAATTATGCAATTGCAACTTCATTTTCATCTAATTTTGTCATTAAAAGTTTATCATACATGTCAATTTTCTTCCATTTGCTAAATGGAGAGAATAACACTAAATCCATGAATGCAGATATTATATGACCAAGGTATGAATAGCTGCAAATAGTTAAATGAAGAGCTTCGCCGCTACTTCAATTGACAAGCTTACGAGTTTTTTTTGTAACCGCAATTGGCGTCGTCGTAATATTTTTTTACGCAACGGTAACTGATGGCGCCATTAATTTCTTCGACGATAAATTAATTGTAAAGTTCAATATAAATTTCGTCAAAACGTCAACTGAGGACGGCATAATTTTTTGCCACTACGGTAATTGACAGCGTCGTAAATTTCTCCGTCATGACAGTTATTGTGTGCGTCGTAAGTTCTTTGTCTGTACGGTAACTGACGGCCTGTTAAATTTCTTTGT